CTATTGAGTTTAAAAAAACAAGTAAGGTATACCTGAGTGAAATGACTTGCATTATCAAGTCCAGTAGTATCATAAATTTGTGTGGATTCATTTTGGTTAGTCGACTTCTTTCCCCGAGCTTTCTTCTGCTTTGATTTCAACTCAAGAGAAGTTTGCATCCTCCCTTTTGTATGATGCAACCCATCTTTTCCTTTAATTTTTTGGCCCTTGTTAGGAATTTCTTGTTATTATATTCTTCTTGTGTGCTCCTTAATTATCTTACTACCACTAGATGGACTTGCAACCTTGATAACTTGTTCCACTTTTGAACTCAGCTCATTTGCATATGTCACAGCTAACTTAAAACCTTCATCCGTTTCAGAAGCTTTTGATGCTATTCTGACAAAGGAATTTATAGCGGTTTAATTTCCCTTATGTTATCAACCTTTGCATTTTTCATCCACCTTTTCAATATGTACTCTGATGGAATTCTTGTAACTCCTCTTACCACGTCAAGAATTCTTATAATATGACGACAAATTATACCTATGGACTCAAACTTCTTGCAAGAACTTGACAATACGCTCTCGAGTGTGCCCATATTTGCTAACCATATACATGATAAATGAATTATTTCTTTCACATTCATTCACTCTAATTGACAAAGATCTCATATATACATCTTGAAATTTTCCAGAAATACTTGGTGTATATACCTCCCTAGCATGAGCCAGAATAGGTACATCTACTTTTAACACCGCTAATCATTGTGATGCATCACAAGTATTCCGTAGCTCATTATACCTTTTATCCTCAATGGCGCGATCATAATGCTTGAAAAATTGCACTAGATTATAGTCTGAATGCAAATAGTCTTTTAAATTATTGTTCAGGCTCTCACTCAATTGTGTGCTGTTCATACCACCTGAAAAAATTTGCTTTCCTTATGCTGCAAAATAATTTTTCCCTCAATGCATATATTCCTTGCAACCATTTATTTTCGCGAAGACTCTATCTATCAAGCATATTATTCCATGCAACTATAAATTCTTCTTTATCCTCATATTCGTAAATGCATTTTCTAAAATCACCACGAAAAGAGGCATACCTTTTATATACTTGATTGAGATGTTTAGCTGCATTTTGCTCCATGTGCTAAACACATAATCAATGATGAACTTAAGGCATGACAATTACTCATAGCAGGATCTTGATCTGTGAAAATTACACATGGTTACATGGCTCTAAAAAATGTTTCAAACAACCACTGAAAAGATTCAGCAGTCTCATCATACATCAGTGCACCTTCAAAAATTACCATTTTTCTATGGTTATTCCATCCCACAAAGCTAGCAAGGGGCCTATATTCCTTATTTGTTCGATAAGTAGTATCAAACGAGAGCACATCTCCAAAAATCTCATAGTCCATGATCATCTTCGAATCTGCCCAAAATATATTTTTGATCATCTAATTGCACCGCAAAAAAGAAAGATGGATCTTCAATTCTCTTCTTCTCAAAATACTCTAATAGTGCACCTGAATGCAGAAGAAGAAGAAATAAGAAAAATAAATATGTGTATCTTCCCAACTAATAAAATAAGCTACAGAATTGTAATATAACTACGAAGATTATAGTACATTATGGAAAAGTGTATTACCTGCTTCGCCGATCTTTCATAGCTTTTTGCCTTTTCGCTCGAAGATAATTCTTTTGATCTTGCCTAGTGTAACCCAAACTTTGTCGACCACCCGCTTGAAGACTCATGAAATCAAAGGTTGCTTTAGACATCAATCCAGCATCTTCCGCCAAATCGATTTCATGAGCTTGTACCTCATTTATTTTTCTATGAGACGGCAACATTGGTGGTGGGAGAAGTGAATGATTGTGTTCTACGTCAACCTTACTAATTCGATATTTTCCGGAAGGTTGACGCGTAATAACAACATGAGCTTGACATCCAATTCTAGTTACTCTCCGTGGATTTTTAACCTGTGTACTTCGTTTATCATCTCCACGAAAATCCTCTTTGAAGCATGTAATTTTTCTTGACATTGCATATCCCACTTTCTTATTTGTGTTCACATATTCTTTACGAGTACTAAAACCAATCCTTCTTGCGTACTCGTTATAAAAATTAATTGCAGCATCATCACTCTCAAATTCAAGCCCGAGTTTAGGCTCAAAATTGATATACACTTGAGGTTTATTTGGTAAAACTTCTTCTGCTTTATCAACGTTTTCCATTATGCTTCAAAAGAAACAAATTATAGGTTAGTATTTTGTACTTTATAATATCAAACTTATGAATAAAAAACATATATATAAATACATATAGATTAATATATCCAAATTTGAAAATTAGAATTACTCACTAAACAAATAAGCATTCACCCATTGATTATAGTTCTTAAAAAAATAATTTCAAAATTGTCTAAATACAGTTTTTTTTTTGTTGAGAAAAGCTGATCACATTGCCCCAAGTGATGGTGTTCGTTTAAAATTTACCATGTCTATGTGATTTGTAATCAAGTTCAATTAAATAAACAAATAGAAAAATATATTTAAATATAGAAGAAGACAAACCTGGCAGCAGCCTTTTGCTTTGTCAATGGCAGAAGTTGTCTGTTTGTAGGCTTGGTACTATTACTACTTCTGATAGGTGTATTAGATAAAGAAGCTTTTGCAGGGAAATATTGGCGCCGAACAATTACTTCTTGTTCCAGTCCGTAGACGATGGAGAATAGCCAAAAATACAAGAATAAATTAAAAGGCAATCTCAGCCCTTTATAGTCATATGGACACGTGTCATCCATCTACATGTGTATTGATGTTTATTGGAGCCAAAAGTAATGGAGCAGAGCCGGACCCGAGGATTATCATTGTCCAAATTTAATTTACGCAGTGAAAAGTGGCTCAGTTTCAAATATACTTATAAAGAGTAGCAACAACAACCACCCAGTAAAATTCCACTAGTGGGGTCTGGGGAGGGTAGTGTGTACGCAGACCTTACCCTTACCCCGAAGGAGTAGAAAGGTTGTTTCCGAAAGACCCTCGGCTTAAGAAAACAGAAAGACAAAAGGGAGACAATATTAGTATCACCACATAAATCATAGGAAAAATAGGAACAACATTAAATTCAAAAAAAAATGCAAAGCAAAAACGATATGTAGTAAATAGGTCATGCATTGAAAAGCGTAATAGTAAGACACAATATTGCCAATAGCTATCTTAGATAAAAATCCTACCAGACTAGTCTCATAGAGGTACGAAGTAAGGCAAGATTCAAATACCTCCTAACCTACAACCCTAATACTCGACCTCCACATTTTCCTATCAAGTGTCACGTCCTCGAAAATCTAAAGCCTTGCCATATCCTGCCTGATCACCTCTCCCCAATACTTCTTAGGCCGCCCTCTACCTCTTCTCGTGCCCTCCACAACCAGCCGCTCACACCTCCTTACCGGGACATCTGGGCTTCTCCTCTGAACATGCCCGAACCATCTGAGCCTCGCTTCTTGCATCTTGTCATCAATGGGAGCCACGTACACCTTCTCCCGAATATCATCATTCCTAAGCTTATCCATCCTAGTGTGCCCGCACATCCACCTCAACATCCTCATTTCTGGTACTTTCATCTTCTGGATATGTGAGTTCTTAATAGGCCAACACTCAGCCCCATACATCATGGCCGGTCTAATCACCGCTTTATAGAACTTACCTTTGAGTATCGGTGGCACTCTCTTGTCACATAGGACTCCAGATGCTAACCTCCACTTCATCCATCCTACCCCAATACGGTGTGTGACATCCTCGTCGATCTCACCCCCCCTGGATAACCGACCCAAGGTACTTGAAGCTGCCTCTACTTGGGATGGCATGTGATTCAAGCCTCACATCCATGCCCACTTCCCCCGGCTCATCGCTGAACTTACACTCCAGGTATTCCGTCTTCGTCCTGCTCAGCTTGAAACCCTTAGACTCAAGAGCCTGTCTCCAAACCTCCAGCCTCTCGTTAACACCGGCTCGCGACTCATCAATCAGAACTATGTCATCGGCGAATAGCATGCACCACGACACCTCCCCTTGAATATGGTGCGTTAACACGTCCATCACCAGGGCGAATAAGAACGGACTGAGCGCAGAACCTTGTGTAACCCCATTACAACCGAAAAATGGTCAGAGTCGCCTCCAACTGTCGTAACCCGAGACTTAGCCCTATCATACATATCCTTAATCGCCATAATGTAGGGAACCGACACCCTTTTTGCCTCCAAGCATCTCCAGAGAACTTCTCTAGGAACTTTGTCATACGCTTTCTCTAGGTCAATAAACACCACGTGCAGATCCTTCTTCCTCTCTCTATACAGTTCCACCAACCTCCTAATAAGATGTATAGCTTTTGTAGTAGGACGGCCCGACATGAACCCAAACTGGTTGTCGGGTATAAACACTGTCATCCTCACCCTCGCTTCAACCATCCTCTCCCACACTTTCATGGTATGACTCAGTAATTTGATACCCCTATAATTGTTACAACTCTGGATATCACCTTTGTTCTTATACAATGGGACCACCGTACTCCACCTCCACTCATCCGGCATCCTCTTCACCTTAAAAATAACATTAAACAACCTAGTCAACCACTCCAAACCTGCTCTCCCCACACACTTCCAAAATTCCACCGGAATCTCGTTTGGCCCGATCGCTCTGCCCCTACTCATCTTACGCATAGCTCCCACGACCTCCTCAACCTTGATACGCCTGCAGTACCCAGAGTCACAGTGACTCTGGCAATGCTCCAATTCGCCTAGCACAATATCTCGATCCCCTTCTTCATTCAGAAGTTTATGAAAGTAAGTCTGCCATCTCCTCTTAATTTGGGCATCTTCCATCAATACTCTACCGTAGCAAAGTTTTAAAATAGCAAGGCTACAAGTGGCTATATCTGCACTTCAGCCAAATAAAAGGCTATGATTTGGATAGGATTATTGAGCCAAAGAGGCCCATTATATCAATGGGTCGGGATCAACCGCAGCGGGTCACTAGTATGAAGTCAAACAGGTTCTGAAGATGTTCAATTTTTGAGCTATCGGAGAAAAATGGCAGCTGGAGAGGAAGTAAAACAACTGGAAGATTGCACAGTCGCCAAGTCAGTTTCCTTCTGTTCTTCAATTTCGAATTTCTCGGTTGTGTTCTGTAGAGAAAGTTGACGTTCTTGCATCTTGAAATTTTCTGAAACCAGAGGCATATTTTCCCCCCATACTTTTCGCCTGTTAGGGCAGTAGAAAAGAGATTTCTCTTTGAGTTTTTTTTCTAGTTATTTTCTATGCTTCTCCGTTCAGAAAACCTAACTTAAGGATGTCAAATTGGCTAAGGGGAAAATTGGTAACAATTCAGTACTCGATTTTCGTTCTTTTATCATCTTAAAAAATACTTGAGAATCAAATTAATAAACTAAATCCACAATGCTAAAACATTTTCCTCTCCATTTTATTAAGTTGGAGTCTAAAGGCATCACTAGAATTGCAACTAGGGTGTGGCCTACTGTCAATGAGTAGTCCACGTGAAAATGGAATGAAGATCATGAAGACTAGGGTTGAAATCCCAGCAGATGTCGAAAACTTAGGTCAATTTTTCCATCTCCTTAAACCTTAGTGGAATAGTCGAGGTGTGCAAGTTAAGTAATAAAAACATGTTTCATCAAAATTAAAAAACAAACATAAAATACCTAAGAAAATGTTGAGGGTGTCAAGAAGAAGGCTACCTACCTTAAAATTAAGGGAAGTCGAAACTTGTTTTAATTTGGGAGAGAGATAGTATTAAAGAGGCATTGAGGCTGTCCCTCCATCCCTTTTTTCCTTTTTGGCCTGTAAAAACAATTTGATCTATTTCCTTGTATGATTCTTTTTCTTCAACAATTTCAACAAATATCAACTAAACTATTTCATGTGACATTTTACCAATGACTCTTCACTTATTGACATTTGAAGCCATCATTTTAAACACTTGTTTTTGGCAAACATTTTATGCTTAATACCCACGTGGATCTAAATAGGTCATGCTTAAAGGGTGGAGGTAGTACCAAATCTAAATGCTTTATTCAATATGAAGATTTGGTTAATGTCAAAGAGAAGAGCGAGAAAGAACAATGCTATCGGTATAATGTACCGTGTGTCACCCCCATTGGCGGAGTCAGGAATTCAAACAGGCAGATTAAAAAGAACAAGAATGTCACACCTAGGATTTGAACTTGTAACCTAAAGCAATTTTTGAGCCCCCTTTGCCATTGCACTACAATTTTTCCTTACGCCGAGGGGATTCGACAGTTTATATATGACAAAGGAAATTGTGTTGTCAAAAGCTCATTTAAGGTGTAATTAAGCCTTGAAGCTCAAAAAGCTCAGGGAGGACGCTTCGCCTCATTTAAGCTACACTTCACTGTAGGAAAGCCACTAAGGCATGCGCTTTGTTGCCCATGAGTTCTGTCTTGAATTGGTCGATCTAAACAACAAATATAATCGGTAGCTAAGTGTATTAGTTGTTAAGGAAAATATTACGAGTGAATTTGTTACTTTTTTTCTTGAACTACATACATATCTATTCATTTCCATCATTGTGCCTTTTTTATAAACTTCACAATTTAGTTGCACTTTGCGCTCAAAGCCCCAATAGATTTGGAGCGCTTTTTAGAGCTTTTCGCCTTTAACAACACTGATTTTTACCCTATTTACATCCTATAATAATAGGATGAAAGGGATTCAATTGAATCTCCTTGCAACCCCCTTGCTCCACCCATGCACACCTCTCTTGTTGCCATCTGTAGTTCCTGTGTAGGGTCAGCATGCCTTGTACTGCAGATGATAGCAGTATCATATAGTGAAATGTGAACAGGTAAATTATGAGAAACCAGTATGATGGATGAGATTTCTCCACATCCGGTCTGGTTGAATATCTGATGTCACTGATTATGTGCTTTGTCTTCCAAGGTGGCTATCTGCTCCATTTTTGCATGTTCTTTTCTATCAGGCATATGTGCTTTGGTGATGAACTTTCATGAGCTTCTGCTGATTATCATGTTGTATAATACTACAATCACGTTCATTTTGTTATTTGAAGTACTCCTCTTTGATAGAGTTCAGTCTCATTATTTCGTCATGGAGTTTTCAGACAACTTCAAGCTGCTAGTGGTCATGCTTTCTCGTTTTAAGTATTTTCTAGCCCTGAACATATCTAAGACTTTCAACCGTTAGGAGCTTGTATGATGATTTTCTCCTAGGTATTTTTTTTTAAAGAAAAAGGGTAAGAAAGTGGAATATTATTGACCTCCATGAGGACTGCAGTTGTGGAGTAATTTCTCATATGTATCAAGCAGTTATTATATCCCTCTTCCATTGATTTCTTAAAATAAACAATGGAAAATTCAATAGTCATGACCATCTCTGTGTATCTATCGTGCGGAGAACTTGAAATTTGTGCTCTTAATAAGTGTTTTTCTCCCTGGAAAACTGCAAGTCCCAACGTAATGTTTGTATCTATCATCGGAGAGGATGAATTCATGCTATTGATACTTTATTTTATTGAAATTGGTATCATCGTGAATGCTTGTATATGCATCGTGTTGCTTGTGTTATTTATTCTAGTAGAAGTTTTTCTTGTCTGATATTTGAATTATTGCAGTGCTCTGGGTACATGGGTTTTCTCTGTAGCTGGTGCACTGCTTGCAATTCCAGTGGGCATAAAACGGAAATCTTTGGGACCCCTTGTCTTCTTTGGAACAACTGGTACGATGCTAGATATAATTATGGGAATCAATGCCTGTGAAAGAGAACACGCAGAACACCAAATGAAACTTTTGGAAGAAGCACAAAGATCTGCAGCTGTTGATCCCTTGGCTGATGATGCAACAGAACATTGGTGGCATTTAGGTCGTTTGGACTTTGGCTTCAACGAATAGCTGAGACTTCGTGTAGCATTTTCAGTACTGTTGTCCATCAGTTTACGGTTTACCTGGCTTGTAACTTCGATATTCTCATTTGCCCAAAAGAGGTCAAATAATGTATTGTGATGTGGCTTCAAAACTACTTTCTCTTAGAAAGCTTTCTATTAGTACCATGTAGAAGTCCAGAGAACACTTCATCACGGCCTGATGGTTTTCAACTTACTGTTAGATTGTTTTCATGCATTGATCTTTGGTACAAAACCGAACCAACCAAATCGATTTAGTTGGTTTGGTTCGGTTTTGATAAAAAACCAAACTAACCCGACTAATGTACACCCCTAACCGTAATATTCTCTACTACTGCCTCCAGCAAGACAGCAACGCATTCAAAGTACTCCAAGCTCTATGTAACCACAAACACAAGATTTGATTCTCCAAATGCAAGTAGAAACATATTGAAGAGGATAAATAGTTAATTGGTGTTATCCACCATCTCAAATCTTAAAAATAACTCAGGACGCCCGGATATCCGCTTACATTTAAGACTTTGGCATCGAAGATCAACATGGCGGTGCAGCTATAGCGTAATGTTGCAGTGAACTGTAGTTAGAATCTGAAGTCTTTCTTGAATATGAAAAGACACCAGTTAGCTTTTAGATGAAAGCAGTGAAGTCTTTCCTTGAAAGAATAGCTTTCTATACTGTTTAAAATGATATGAGATCACCAAGGTTTCCATTTGCACGTACAATCTTCCACTTTAGGGCGTTCTTTTGTCAAGGGATCCGCCCCTATATTATTCTTAGTTACTCCATTCAAGGAGTCTAGAAAAGGAACTCCGACTTAAGAAGTTTATGAAGAACAAATGAACTCTGCTGAAAATATTGATATTTGATACATTTAAGCACTCCTATAGTAAGTTGACATCAGATGTAAAGGAAGGTAGAGAAACAGAGATCATTTCGTACCTCCCATATTCGCAATCTCTTGTTGCGTTAATAGTAACTTTAAATTTCAAAGGACTGCTATTCTCCTGTTGCAGTAGCAACTTCAATAAAATTAACCAAACCAAATAGAAATTTGGTCTTGCATTGAATTTATTATCCTCGTTGGTGCTTGATGTGTCAGTCACTGCAATACCTTCCCCAGGAGCATTACGTTCAAGCACAGTCCTTTCAGCCGTGCCATTCCTTCTGCAGACTAAATTTGGAGCATGATCTTTTCCCTTCTTCAGCCTTTTATAGCAAGAGAGCACTTCCTCAGCTCTGATGTTTCCAAACAACACTTCAGCTGCCTTGTTTTTAACAAGAAGTGGAGCATACATTGAATCATCCCACACATAGAGCTGCAAAATTGAGATAGTAAATTTTAAAAAAACTTCCGAATAAACTAAGAATAAGAGGTTAGGTGCACTTATGGCACTTAAGCTAATTTCTGCTTTAAAGTAGATATCTCACCCCTGTCCATCATTATAATTGAGTGATTGAAATGTCAATGAATTTGAAAAATCATCTGTGATGCTGGTGTCAGCTAGAGTGAAGTTTAAGAACCAAAATAAAACGTAAAAAAATCAGGTGCCAATCACCACGGTTTGGAAAGAAAAACGCAATATAGGCAGTAATAGTGAAAGAGTTTTCTGGAGCAAATTTTTACAAGAAAAAAGAATGTTACCAATTGACAAGAAAATATTACCATGAAAGGCCGATATATCGTGCTTACAACATGAAGGTGATTGGAGCTCTCCTGACAATAGAGTGATGTGGCATTTTCAACACTGCCTGAACTGTTGCAAACCACAACGATATAGTAGTTGCTAAATGTTATAGACATATCATCAGCATAGATATGAAAAGAGGACTGGTTAAGCTTTTCCTCTTACCTAGATTCGTAACTTAAAGGAGTACCACAGAGATGGCAGCCAGCAGTAATTAGATCGTCAGCCACGTCACAATCTGAGTGCATGTATAATCTCTTGCTAATGAACATGCTTTCAGTAGCCGATTCAGGAAGATGTCTCCACGTAATTGGCAGAAATACTTCACCGACAGATGCATACAAGGTTACCTTGGAGGAATCAGGAAAATCAGATAAATCTTTAAGAGAGACACAACCCAGAGATTTTGTCTCTTCGTGCACTTTCCAATTTTTTGATGGCTGTTTCCGCTGCGAATACATGAAGCCAACATTCATATATTTCATAAAGCAAGCCGAAATATCGTTCAACTGCAGTCACTTGACAAGAGATGTGAAGTAATACATGAGCATGCACCTATCACCATCATATGGATATCAAAGATCTTGAATTGTAGCATTAAGAAAATACAAATCAGCAATAACAGCCATTTAAAAGCCATATGTTTCTTCCATCAGAAAAGGTATAATTCGATGGACTACTTGGACCTCTCCTTATTTTGACAAACATCATAGACCTTTCCTCTTTAACAGTAAAAGTAATTGGCTTTAATTTCTCCACAACTGGACAATATTACTCTCATAGTGATGCACCTTCGACCGTAAACCCCCCAGAATAGCATAAGTATTGAACTCAAATCATTAATCTGGAACTTTATAAAAATTTCATTTTCATAGTTAAGCTAAAATAAAATAAAAATATTCAAATTACTCTTTCCTTTATTTCCTGGGTAGATACAATAGCAATTGAGAGCAAAATAGGAGCAAATAATTCAAAACATTTATATTAAATCATTAACTTTTAATGTCCTAGTAGAGACAAGGAAATTTTCTATAAAGAAACACTAGACTAGAGGAAAGTTTTTAGATATAGGGGATGTCCATTTACTTTGACTAAACTAGAGTGGAGGTCCAAGTAATTCATCCAAAGTTAATTCATTAATCCAATAAAGAATGAAAGGCACTTATTGGTTGGTTCAAGATAAAGCAGCCCTGAACTACATAACAGAGGACAAGGGAGTCTAAAAATAACTCTTCTGTTGCATACATACATCCAAATTTTGGTTTTCATCAGTGTGGAGACTGATTAAGGAGAAAAAGAGAAACCCCCTACATCTCAGCCGTGCATAGGAAGGGCATAGGGAAGAAATAAATTTGAGAATGAGAAGAGGCTGCTCGTTAAATAAACTCTTAGCCTCTACTCAAGTGTACGCAACTGAAAATTAGCACAGAAGTTCCAAGAGAAAGAGGAAACCTGATGGTTGTTTAATTCAACAGCAGCCCCCTGCTGTAGCCATCTAACAATTTTCAGAAGCTTATCCTTTGCTGCCACACCAATTCGACAGCTGCGCAACAAGTCGTCTCCACCTGTAAAGACAATAAATCAATATCTTAGCGAGGTCTGCCCCAGGAAAACTTTAATCGAGCCGCTTATCTGCAAAGAGTAGTTTACAGAAATTGAGTGTCCAGTAATGTATGAATGATACTCCAAAGCCAGATCATATCTACCAAAGACAATGCATAACAGCCTCATCAATTCATCAAACTCAACCGTGTACTTCTAATAGCTAAAGAGTGCCTGAGAGAGAGAGAGAGAGAGAGAGAGAGAGAGAGAGAGAGAGAGAGAGAGAGAGAGAGAGAGAGAGAGAGAGAGAGAGAGAACCTTTAGAAACAAGTGACTTGTATGAACGGACTACACATTGCAAGGTTGAGCAGTGTACAGTTCTAGCCTCGACTAATCCGCCAACTCTTGTAATCTTAACATCTGAAATTGAAAAGAATATACCTCTGGAGCATCAATATTATTTGGAAACCAAAGTTTAGAACACACAAACCACATATTCAACAGTATTTAGATAATACTAATCAGCAGATAAACCAGTTCAACAAACACAAGTATAGCAGATTCCATGTAAGTAAGAAGCAAGAGGAAAGAAAGCTATATGAGTTAATGAATTTTGAAGATCCTTTAAGGCAATGACTGAGCAGTGAGCACCAATTACACCACAATCGAATTCAAGACTGCAAAATGAAACTTGCTATTATCAAAGTGATCTTCGTAAATCAATAAGAAAGCCTGCCTATTGTCGTTTATGCTTCTTGTTAGTTTATTACTGAAATCCAAATCCCATCTTTATTCGTGTGTGCTGTTTATATGTTCAGTGGGTAAAATATGCCACAGGCGACGAATTGCAACAAAACTTACAATCTTGGATAGTGCAAATTAGCTGGTAGTGAGCACTCTCATTGTTTTTGAATTGTGTGTGTATATCTATATTATTATAAAAGCATGAATACAATGTCGGATTACAAAAATAACCTTATAATATTAAGTATAATAAGTCATAATAAAAGGACATAACCGGAATTCCAGATATTAGCCTTATAATCCTATTAGTTTTAGGACACAATACTACACTTTAAGAATCCTACATGACAAGGTTCCAATACAATATTTACGAATATAATATTGGTGAACCAAATATCCGTAAGATATCTTTCGCTAATTAACTCTACGTTGGATAAAATGTCAAAAAGTTAAAATTTTAAAATTTAAAATTAACTGAGATATCAAGTCTAAAATAAAGTGTGGTTGAGAATTATCGTTTGCACAGGAAATCGTTCTCTAATGTCTCAACTTGAATAGGAGTTCATATCATTATTTTTTATTCTTTTTCTATATTTTATAAAATACTATTCCCATAAACTCTTCGAAATACCCAGATGTAGAAAGCATATAGTTACTTTCGGGCAAGACATATAATACTATATGTTAGCATGTAAACCCAATATCTTTAGGAACACGTTACATTCCTATTAGTATAATTACTTTCGCGATTGAGACATATTTTTAGTCCGTGTAATCCTATTACTTTTAGGTATATGCTTCTTAAAATTACCTATTACTAATTTAATTTGAAAATATTGTATTGTCCTATTACTAATTTAATTTGAGAATGTATTATATTGTCCAAATCCGTTTAGAAAAAGGAGAGCCTATATATTATTATAAAAGCACAAATACGATATTGATAGACCAAAATAGCCCTAAAATATTAAACAGAAGAACTCGTAGGAAAATGACTAACAATAATAACCTCTTTTTTGGACTAAATACCTTCGTTAATTTTTTTAATATTTAAGATTTTGAAATCAATAAAATTTTATCTATTAAGTTCTTATTAAAATATGTATGAAGGGTTGATAAAATCAATTTCATAAGGATCATCTGTATTAGCAATACATTACCACTCCATAATATCCAAGCGAAGAAAAAATAAAAGTAATGTTAAATGGACTGCATAAACAGTTAAAATTGAGAAAAAAATATATCACCACGATAATATATTTTTATATTATACTTGAACTGCTTTTCTACTCAAACAATATTTTTTTAATCAATTTTTTGTGTAATATTGAAAAATATACCAAATTATTAAAAGTAAGAAAATATTTAAGAATATAAATGTGTGAGAAAGAGAAAGAAAAAAAGTTGGTAAGAGCCAATACCACTAATGATTCTGCAAGCATAAACATCTAAAAGTGGAATGTCAGATCAATCTTTTTACTCTTTAAAAATAAAAATTCGGTGGATAAAGTTATATTACGATTAAATATTCAAAACAAGAGATGAACTAATATTAAGAATCTGAATCAACATAAAATAAATTATTTTTACAAATAATAAATCTTTCAATTAATTATTTAGCAAGAGAATCCAATTCAATTATTTTTTAAATTTATCATGAGTAAAATTATTTTTCAAGTTAGAACAAAATTTTAGGTTACATAAATTTATTCCATAAAAAGAGCGTTAATAATTAAAAAAAAATTAGAACACAAAGTAAAAAGGGTTAGTATAGTATTAAGAATCAAAAGGCCATACAAATGTTTGAGGAAGCACAATCAAAGCTAAATTCTAAACAGGAATAAGCTTTCAAGACCATATTATAAAGAGACGACTCTGGTTTAACGGGATTATCCTGTGTAGACTCCTCCGGCGGAATCGAAATAATATTGTTATGTTATGCATTACTTGCAAATGTCAGATCAAAAGGCATGATATTGTTAGTAATAATAACAAGTGGTGTACCACCAACGATTTTATTTTGAGGTCGTACAACTCACTTTAGATTTGATATACCTCTTCAAACAACTGAAACAACCATCACAAATATATCAAAACAAATTTATTAGTAAAGTAAAATTTAAAATATGGAATTAAGCGCTTATGGCTAAGCATCAAATGATCGAAATAATTGCTCGGAGTTTTAGAGATATATTAGATATGAATGAATATTTGGTGGAAAAGTAATGGTTTAGGAAGTGATTTATGTCAAGTACTACCAGTAGTTCCAAAATTGACGAAAGCAGAGACTGTAAAAGCTAGATTGCCAAAATTATGCTTATGGCCTCAAATAAAGATGATTCAATTGACGAAAAATATACAAGTAAGAATAGATCCAACATTCAGTGACTTCTTGCTTCGTCTCCGAAACGAAGTAGACCATCTAATAAAGATGATTTGGTTCTTCCAAAATACTTGGTTATCAACCCCAATAGTAATAGTAGTGAATTTAATCAGGGAGATATTTTCATCACTAGATTAAAATGCAATTTGTGCAAACAACATGATAGAAATTAAAGAACTATCATAGCTAGCAGAAATGAATATGTTGATCAACTAAATAAAAGGTTGATTGCTAAATAANTTTAAAGAATTTAAATTATCCGTAGATTAGTGGCTTCTTTTAACCGGAACCATAAAGTACAAATATACTTATGATGCGTTTTAAAGAAAAAGAAATTTGCCGACTTTGCCCCCGCATTTGTTGGAAACTTCTAAAGAAATATATGTGTTGGGTTTTTACAAGCTTTTCTAAACACTAAAGAATTTACGCTTTCAACTGTTCTCTCAATCTTCATCTAGAGTTAAGCCAAAGTGTTGGAATAAAAAGGAGGTAAAATAGTATTCATAATATAAAAATGTGTATTGTGATCATATCATACCTAATACTTCTTTGTGTGTGTGTATATATAGAGAGAGTGTGTGTTTTCCTTTTTTGCAGGAAGTTACCAAGTTTCATCATCGGTACCGTTATTATTATTATTATTATTATAGTGTTCATAGTTGTAAGGTGGGTTTTTCAATGGGATTAAGCGATATTAGTTTAATGAATCAATCACCAACTTCAAACTGGCTTTCTTTTTCTTTTCTATCGTTAACTTGATACACATTCATATGAAATTTTAATGAGTGATAAGAAACACTAGCTTGAATACGGAAACAACCACTGCCTATACTCAGGTAAATTTTGACTCTCCTAATAGTATATTCTGACAATATCTAATCATTTTGAATTCAAGTACTATATTGATGCAATGATAATAATTAATAATAAATTTAATTTATTAATATTTCATATAAATAATTGACAACGTGCAACGCGCGTGTATATATATTATATTTTAAGACTATCATCTATACTAATTCTCCACTCATGGTAAAAAAACAAAAAGAGAAAAATGGATGCAGTGGCAAACCTTTTTTTTCTTTCTGAATATAACTTAAGAAGAAAACATACTTTGAAGCAAAATGACATCGCCAGCAACAAATTTGGAGGCCAAATGTTTCTGCCAAATTGAAACAGGAAAAAAAAGGCGGGTGTCATCGCCCACCTGTATGTCCGTCCTAATGACCTCTGCTCCACCTTTTCTCCATAACTTGTACTGCAAAATATATACTATGCTTCAGTAAATTAACCAACTCATCCAAAGTACCCAAGGACATAAATAAACAATAGAGAGAAAGTGAAAGTACCTGAATTGGGGTGATATTGTGAACCAAAACGAGGAGCTGGACGTACTCTCCGATGTGAATTGCTGCTTTAGAGAGGTCAATTAGAGGACCGTAGCATACTATTGCTGCCATTTTCTTCTTTTTTGGTTTTTGCTGATGTTTTCTTCCTTCCTTCTCTCTTTTGGGCTTTTAAGGACCCGACCCGGTGTTTGCTGTTATACGGGTGAAATTAAAAAATAGTTAGATTTACAAGTGCTAATAGGAAAATAGCCACAGTTTCAAAAGTAATCGAAATCTTGCCATTTTCATGTAAAGATAAAAATGAACGAAAATATCATTCAAAATCCGAAAAATATTCCAGCGTAATATACTGGAGTTCGAATTTTTACATGTGAACTTTCAGCATAATATATTAGAGTTCCAGCATAATATGCTGAAAGTTCATAGACATGTGCTCCAATCTCCAGTAAATTATGCTGGAACTTTTGGTGTGCTGGAGTTCCAGCATAATATGTTGGAAGTTCATATACAGGTCTCCAGTATATTATGCTAGAACTTTCCGTGTTGCAACAAAATAGTGACTATTTTTTCAATGCCTTGCAAACGCTGGCTATTTTTCAATTACCAGTCCGAAATGGCTAGCCCGTGCTATTTTCACATGTTATACGGGGGAGAAATTCAAAATTAGCTTGATTTATAATTGTTAATTGAAAATTAGGCATTGTTTTAAAATTAATCAAAATTTAGTCATTTTTTCATGCAATAATAAAATTTGGACAAAAATACCCTAAGTCAAATCCGAAAAAAATTCCAATATAATATGTTGGAGTTCAAACTTTTTACATATGAAATTTTAGCATAATGTGTTGGAGTTCAAAATATACTGTATGTGAATTCCAGCGCAATATGTTGGAATTCGCATACAAGGTGTCTTTGAAGTTTGAACTCCAGCGTAATATGATGGAGTTTTATATGCAAAAGTTTCATAATTAAGTATATTATGCTGGATTTTTTTCGTGTTTGCTGAGCGTATTATTATCCAAATTTTATCTCCGCATAAAATAGTGATTATATTTTAATACCTTTGCAAACGCTAGTTATTTTTCAATTACTAATCCAAAAATTAGCTAGTCCATGCTATTTTGATGTTATACATGCTATTTTCCATGAGTTAACTTTTATACAACAATTGGAGGGAGTTTTTTAAATAAGATTTTTAGGATTGGGCTGGTCCGGGCCGGCCTAGCCTAGGCCACGTGGGCTTTGTCCTTTAAGGGGCTGGGCCGACCCACTATTTCGATTAGTCTTAAAATGATTAGTCAAACCCCGCCCTATGTGGGTCATGGGCCCCCACGGTCCGGCCCATCATATTTAAAAATTATTTTTCATATTTTTAAAATTTAAGTTTTAACCTAAAATGCAATATATATATATAAAATAAGACATTGTTCCAATAGATTACTATAAAATACAAAAAAGGAGAACAATAATTCATTTACTAAAAGTCAATACTTAAAACGAACTACTCAAAAATCATTTCAAGATGCTCATGGCATATCCAACACCAACAAATCATCTAAATCAAGCATATTTGAATCCCGTTGTGAAATAAAGATGTCTTACATCTTCATTTTCATCTGAAGATAATTATATGTAATGTTAATTAGTTAAACATTAAGAAATTATTGAAAATTTAAGAACAAAAAGTATTAAATTCACATAAAAAATATTACGAGTTTAATGTTAGATTACTCTTCTTGTTATTTTTAGTTCAATATTTCTTTTTATATTTTTTATATTTTTAATTAAATACGTTTATTAAGCTCACGGGCCAGCCCAAATGCCCAACCCAATCTCGATCCTCATGGGCCAGGGGCTTACTTGGGATGAATTTAAAAGCCTCGTTTTTTAATGAGCTTAAAAAATCTTAACCCAACTTTATTAAATTACGGGCTGGATTAGGCTGGCCCAACGGGCCAAGCACATATTGACAACTCTAGTTACTACTACCATTTATTCAAAAGTTTATGGCAACTGTAGAAAAAAAAATCATCTCGTGCACATATTCCTTGTAATTTTCAAAATTAAATATCATCAAAAAATTTATTTATAATATTCTGAATCTATAAAGGAGTTAAATAGACTTTTTGAGAAGTGAAAGGAGGATAGGTATTGGAGACAAGGAGATCCAAAATGCCAAAATGTTACCTATGAATTCAATCCATGACTAAATGCAATTCAAATTGATTCCTTTTGGTGTATATATTTGCCTCCATGGTAGAAAGTTTTCCTTGTGTTAATGGAATTCAATAATTAATTTTATGCGCATTCTATAATAAAATTTACACCACATGATTATTCGAGTAATCATCAGAGGCTGGGTCAAGATTTAAAGTTTTTGGGTTTGGTCTAGTCTTTTTTAAGTTACTGTATTGGGTAAAACTGAGTTTATGCATATCGAAGTGATGGAAAGATGACATGTCATGACACGTAGGCAAGTCAAAGAATGGTGATTAAGCAAAGAGACACGAGTTGCAACAGATACGAGCGGAAGCACAAGAAGAGGCACGAGTTGCAACAGATACGAGCGGAAGCACAAGAAGAGGCACGAGCAAATATTCAAAAGACTCGTTGCTCGTACTTATTTAAGTGTAAAAGCTGAGAAGAATGAACCTGACAACACAGGAGAGCCCAGATACAGTATTTAATAAGCATTAAATACTAAAAACGTTAGAGGATCTGTATTAAATTGCAATGATTATGTAACGTAGCATTTAATGCCTTTAATCGTCCATAATGACCTTATTATGACAAAGGCAAAACGTATAACTCAAAAAATAGTTATAAAATGAGGAAGACTGATCATTTGTAGACACACAATATCATCTGAATATACCGGTTTTACTTTATTTTCTGCTATCTATTGGTTATCAAAATCCATTTCTTTTATTCATTTCCGATTATCAGTAACACGAGTTCTTCTAAAAATAAAGCTTTGACTGAAATCCCATTTTTCGGTTAAACAAATTGGTTCCGTTACCGGGAATCTGATAATCTATTCTTTCTTAACCTTATCTATTTCGTTACATCAACAACCATATCAAATGTTAACGATAACACCCAGGGAAACCAAGGAAATCAAGGAAACCATCAACTCCAAGGGGATCCACAAGATGTTCATACTCCGATCCCTTCTCCACAAAGTTCGCCTCGTCGATCTCGAGAAGGAACTCCTGATGGATTCACTCAAATGCAAATACTCAATTTAACAACGATGAAGCTATCAATGAAGCTTTGCAAAAGTTGATCGCTCAACAGGTCAGTAAAGCTATTGAGGCTTTTGCCAGCCAATTACCTGCTGCACCATCAACACCAGTTCCAAATACCAACACTTTGGAAAACCCTCGTTCTGGGCTTGTTAATTCAGGCAGTGGTGGAATCCCCAGTGAATCACGAGAGAGAGAACCAGGTAACGTAGTCAATTCCGATTTACAAAATTTAGTTCTAACATTGCAGAAACAGCTTAAGGAGCAAAGTGACCGCATAGAGCAAATACCTGGAGTATTGCCCGTAATCAAAGGAATAGATATGGATAAATATTCACAGCAACCTTGGAAGCCAAGCGCTGCTCCTTTACCAATTTCAAAGAAATTCAAAATGCCTGATATTCCAAAGTACGATGGAACAACTGATCCACGAGACCACGTGACTGCATTCAAAACTGGCGTAAAAGGCAACGACTTGACCAAACAAGAAATTAAATTAGTATTGGTTAAAAAATTCGGAGAAACGCTCACTAAGGGAGCATTAACATGGTATTCTCTTTTCCTCGAAAATGCTATAAATTCTTTTGCTGAGCTTGCAGATTCATTTATCAAAGCATATTCGGGAGCTCAAAAAGTGGAAAAGAGAATGGAGGATATTTTCAAAATCAAACAAGGGGACTCTGAGTTGCTCAGAGAGTTCGTGGATAGGTTTCAGCGTGAAAGAATGACGTTACCACGTGTACCAGATAATTGGGCAGCTATAGCTTTCACCATTAATTTGAATGAAAAAGTTCAGAAGCCACGAGGCGACTCAAGGAAAGTCTTCGTGAATTCCCAGCAACAACATGGAATGACGTCTACAACCGATATAGCACGAAGTTAAGGATCAAGGAAGATATTATCTCACGATCTCAAAAAGAAGAAAAGGTAAGTTTGAGACGGGTGAAAACAGAAAAAAGATCACGTAAAAATAGGTACGAACCATATATGGGCCAGCTGGAAAAGATTCACGGTCCAAGCATGATCATTCAAGGTACGACCATAGATCTAGAAATAGAGAATCGGGTTCATCATCTAGGTATGGAAATGATCGCAACACGCGAGAGTCACGAGATGATGATAGAAACTTAAAGGCGCGGTTTGGTGGTTATAATTTTAATGTACGCACTTCCGAGCTCGTTGTTGTTTTAAGAAGCATGGGTGATAAGGTGCGGTGGCCAAAAAGATGAGGTCAAACCAAACAGGCGCAATCCCGAACACTGGTGTGAATTTCATAACGATCATGGTCACAAAACGGCAGATTGTAGGTTACTACAAGGTGAAATTGATCATTTGTTGAAGCAAGGGTATCTCACTGAGTTATTCAGCGAGAAAGGAAAGCAAGCATACATGAAGAATAGGCAGGAGCCCCCAAAATCGCCCTCCCCAAAAAGGACCGTTAATGTTATAAGCGGAGGTGAAGAAATCAATGGTGTGACGTATACAGCAGCAAATAAAGTATCCAAAGTCACGATTACCCATGGGAAGCGGGTGCGACATGTCTTAGAGGAAGAAAGCATTACGTTTGATGATGCAGATGCGGATGGCGTATTAACTCCACATAACAACGCACTGGTAATATCTTTACTTGTACATGACACTAATGTGAAATGAGTTTTGATTGATCCAGGTAGCTCTGTGAATATTATTCTGCTAAGAGTTCTACACGAGATGCAAGCTGAAGCCAAATTAGTACCCAAGGCACATATTTTGTCCGGGTTCGATAATTCTAGCTTCGTGACGAAAGGGGAAGTAATACTTACTACATTCATAGAAAGAATTGTCAAAGATACAAAGTTTCAGGTAGTGGAGCTGGAAATGGCTTACAACATAATTCTAGGGAGGCCATGGATCCACGAGATGGATGTTGTT